TATATGGTCTTTTTTCACATGACAGACAATGGTGAGTAGATTGACATTTTCCTGTTATGGTTCTTTGAACTTCTCTCCATAGACCTAAAAGACAAGAGAGACATAATGATCCTGATGGTCCATATTAAAGGTTCATTCTATGATGCAAGGAAGTAAAGCAATTCAATGCACTGATAAAAATAATAAAACTATTTAAAAAATGTTAGTTCAGAACCTGTTATAAACTGATTTAACTCTGAATAAATGTCACTCCATTGGATAAAGTCTGTTTGCTTATTGTTATTAATGCCTGCCATAGTAGTAATGGAGCAGGACTTTATTAACTTTGACATTGAGTTGGATTTCCTTATAAAAAAAATGAGGAAAAGATCTGAACAGAAAGGTTTTAATGATTTATATAGAAAGAATTTAATAAATTACTGTGGCCGAGATTTTTCACTTACTTTTATTTTTTATTCTGAAGTTGCATCAACCTTATCAGAGATCTTCTCTGAATCATCAAGTTGCCCTGTTCACATGATTAGAGGAAACACAAATGTTGTTGTTGACAGATTGTTGCTCTGATCAAGAAACATAAAACAGAAACACCTTCATTCTGAACTAAAAATAATGAAACTGACTGAATTGTTGATGAGTTACAGTATAATTACAAAACCTCCAGCATTATTTGATAATCAGACTTTATACTGAACCTTTTCCACAGTTTTCAGGGCCTCTGATTGTTTCATAGACACAAAGGTCACCTAAAGGTCGATGAAAGTCCAACACAGATTAATTAGTCACTTTATGTCTGTTATTCACATTAAAACTTTAACAAAGGAACAGAATCAAAGCTGCAGAGGAAACAAGGATTTTATGAAAGTTGGATTAGATGGATGGAACTATTTCCTGATTAAAATCTGTATCAACGATTAGTGGAAACATTCTGTCATGAAATGTGGTATTTGGTGGAGAGGTGGACGTGGTCGGACCCAGGATGAGGTGCAAATGATGGTATTTAATGAAGAAAAAAAAATCACAAAATCCAGGCAGCACAGATGAGCAGCATCACAAGCTCTGAGTCTGGTAGCAACCGGTAAATCATGAGGCAACTGACGTAGGGGTGTCACATCTAAAAGTTGCTACCCTGCAACTTTTAGATGTGTCTCTTCTGCTGCACCACACCTGAATAGAATAATTAGGTGATTAGCAGGACTCTGGAGAACAGATCTACACAAGAAGGAGGTAATTAAGCCATTTGATTTCAGTGTTTTGTGCCTTTGGCACATCTAAAACCTGAAGGACAGCGGCCCTTGAGGACTGGAGTTTGACACCTGTGCATGGTAGACGAGGACCTGACAGGGAACAAGAGACACAGGTGGGTAGAAATACACAGGGAAGGGAATCAGGGGAAGCAAGGGACAGCTGGGCACAATCAAGGGGCACAAACACAGAGACTCTATAAACACAAAAATACACAAACTCAAATCCTCACACATTCAAAACTAAGTGAAATACTGACCATGGAGGAGAGAGGAGTAAACTTGATGCAGATCTTCATCCTGACCAACTGGCTGCTCTGAACCACAACCTTGTTCACAAAAAAAAAAAAAAGATTTTTAGTGAAATTGTTGTGTATTTAAAAAGGCAAATTTGTTTATGACCTTGATGTGCTCTGGTAGAAATATGACTGAGTCAGAAGAAGATGCCCTCACATTTTGGCTTTTGGAAATAAATCACCAGCAGCAGGAGGATGAGAACGATGAATCCAATCACTGATCCAGTGACCAACGGAACAGGAAAAGAGGAGCTTCCAGGTCTGGATGCAGCTGTTTTGGTGATGAATAAAATTACTACCTGTTACAAATATATAATACTGTCACAAAAAAGTAAAACAATATTTCATAATGTATTCAGGTTTCCACCTTTAACTGCCATCCAGCTCTGAGGTGAAACTTCTCCTGAATGTTCACACTTGTAGAAACCTTCATCTGACTGAGACACTGCAGAGATCTTCAGCTCTCCTCTGCCGTCATTTTGGATCAGTTTGTCATGATGATAGAAAATCACATCAGAAAGTTTGTTTTCTCCTCTCAGTCTGCAGCTCAGAGTAACAGAAGCTCCTTCAGTCACAGGATGGACGGGGCTCACCAGGAGAAGATCTTTAGCTGGAAACCAGACAGAGAAAATGAAGCTTCAGTCAGAAATCAGCTGCTGGAGGCAATTAGAGAAAAAACTGAACACATGATTTTTATCATTGATGCTTTAAAGTTTTATCTTGAGCCTCTTTTATTTGAATTGTAACATTTGCTAAATAAATATTTGCATTTCACTATTATTAGTGAACAATACATTTCTAACAGCAGCTGAACAACAATGAAGACTTTATTTATAAGAACAAGAGAAGATCTAATTTTAGATCAAAAGCTAGTCCTTTCTGATTTTAGTGAAAAAACAAAAGCAAAACAAGAGTAAAAATCAGGCTTCATAGTTACGGGTCCTGCTGCTCCAACTCACTCATTCATCAGATCCACCAATCAGAAGTACAACAAAGCACATATCATGTGAAATGTTGCCAAACTGATCAAATATTTGTTTTCTAACTCATGACATTTAATTTCTGCTTCATCATCAAGGATGCATTCAGTCTCTAATTTCTGTAAAATTCCTCTGGTGAATGAAATAACGCGTGTATTAACATACCATGTATACTGATGTTGACTGCATTGCTGATCTCTCCTGATTCAGATTCACACCAGTACACTGATTTAAAGGACCAGTGACTGTTAATGGTACATGAGCATCCATTCAATTTCCATGAGCTGGAGCAGTCTGGCAACTGGAGTTCATCATCTTCATCCAAAAAACGTATTGTCAATATATCAGAGTTTTCTCTAAACCTCTTCACTCTCCACTCAGCAGAGTTTCCTCCACAGTTCAGTGTCACAGACTCAGAGGTGAAGTGTTGCTCTCTGTCAGGACTCACTGAGAGAGACGCTGCTGGATGAGGATCTGAAATACAAGAAAGAAAAAAGACCAAAAGGAAACAAGACAAAGAACTTAACATAGAATCTACTTTTTGTTTTACAAGATCTTTGTTTTCCTTTATGAGGTTACTTTGTAGACTTCATTTTTATTAATTTAACTTCTTTTTTTCAATTCCAATGTTTTTCTCCTCCCCTTTTCATTAATTTCAACATAAACTAAATTTTCAGTCAAAATAAAAATATCTTTAAATGACAGTCATAGTTTATTAAATAGAAACACACTGACCTGCAGACCAGACAAACTTTGGTTCACTGTAATCAGTGAAGATCTCTGGGTTTCCTCCTTTAGCTCTACATGCAAATCCTGCTGTTTGTTTCTGTCCATGAATGATGAAGGAGTTCTCTACAGACCCATTGATGCTACCAGGCAGCAGATCATATCTGTAGTTGTCCTTTGATAAATCAGGAACAGCTTTATACCAGTAGAACCTCCATCCTGCAGATGAAGGTTTAACCTCACAGCTCAGAGTCACTGAGGCTCCAGGATTCAGCCATGATGGAGACACAGTGAGGACTGAATCTGATTCATCTGTTGGAAGAGGAGTTTCAATTAAAATAAATAAAATACCCTGGTTTATGTTAAATATGTCAAAATCTATTCAAAGAAATTACAGCTCATATGTTAAACTGTTTTGCTGTTTTTTCTGCTTGCAACATAATTTCACTGATGGCCCTTGTTAGAGGGAGAAGAAATACATTGAAGAGTTGAAACAATTCAGTTGATTTTATTTTAAGTAGCTCTGTATCATAACATACCATTTATACTGATGTTGACTGCATTACTGAACTCTCCTGATCCAGACTCACACCAGTACACTGATTCATGGGGCCAGTGACTGTTAATGGTACATGAGGGACCAGTCATTTCCCACCTGTAGGAGCAGTCTGATATGACCTGCCAATGGTTTATTCCTCTAAACTCCTTCACTCTCCACTCAGCAGAGTTTCCTCCACAGTTCAGTGTCACAGACTCAGAGGTGAAGTGTTGCTCTCTGTCAGGACTCACTGAGAGAGACGCTGCTGGATGAGGATCTGAAGAACAACATGGAGGAAATAATCAACATAAGCAAGACGCAATTCTGGCTAAACTCTAAAAATTTCTTCATTCGTTGTTAAAGACTTGCTACAATCGTCTTAAACAGAGTCATTGCTTTTCTTTGCATTTTTATCACTGAATTACAATTTTTAGTTTGGTTGTTTAGTAGTCAGCTGATTTCCAGATTACTACTGGACTTGTTCTAAAGGTTCTGAGTATAATCCCTCACATTCTACCAGGACCTGTATGAAGACATAATACAATAATCCCAGGTGGATCTCCAGGAGGGATATGGGGTGCAACGTTTAGGGTTTAATGAGTCCATTAATCGCTTGCAGACAATGACTCACATGTGATTTAGGAGCTTTAGCAAATTCCTCTTGTTAGTTTTGCTCACAACAAAATACAGGAACATTAAAACATTAAAATATAAAAATATTTAGGACTATTTCAAGGATTTAAGTTTCACAGATGGCTGTTAAACTACGTTGGACTTTTATTGTCAGAGTGGAAACATAAATAGGATACAATTAAAATAAGACTTCTAAATAAAACTGCTTAAGTTTCTAATTTCATTTTGTTGTAGGCTTCTTGGAATGCCAATTTTAAAAAAAAATCTTGTTGCTTGTCAGTTGCAGTCGACAGTGTAAAGGATTTAAAAGAAGACACAAAAGCTTGGTGACAAAGTTGGATAAAATGGAGGAAGAGAAGACGAGAACTGAAGAAGAAAGAATTTGACAAAGGTGATGTCACCAAATTAGTGTGAGAATGTGTTCAGTACTGGTATATTATGTTCATCAGAACGTTTCACGTAGCTGCAGAATCAGGTGCAATTTATTCCAACTTGGTGTTTTATGGTGAATGTTCAAAATTTGAGGCTTAGTCACAACAGCATGCATTGACACAACAAAACAATTTTGATAACTTTTGATCTTCAGTGCCTTAAGACTCTACATGATTTTGAAGTCTGTATGTGAAAAGCTGTAGGACGAGTTTGCTCAGTTGAATGTTTAAAAAACACAAAATGGTGGCTTTGATCTTAAATGGCCGACATCCTGTTGGATTTGGACCATGGGTTCAAGAGGCTTTTTTAAAGATCCTGTGAAATCCCATTTATGTGCTGAATTTCATTATTGTCAAAGCTTGGTTTGGGGCTGATTTTGTAAAAATTTCTAGGGGACGCTGTGGGGGAATTTGGCTACATGTAACAGAGAGAGACGAGGACGACCTTGGAGATGAAAAACTAAGATGGAGACTGAGAGAAGCAGAGGCGCCGTTATTATCTGTAGTGAGACATTGAAGAAGAGCTGGCAGGACGAACTGCGTCCAGGATGAGAGAGAGTTTTAATACCCAAGGAATCATATTTATCCGTTTTAATATTAATAATGAATCACTTCAATTTGGACAGCCTTTCCTTCCACTTTGTCTTTTAAACATAGAATTATTGTTGCATGTATGACTTAAATGTGTATAGTCTACTTAAAGGAATAGTAACTTTTGGTCTGTCTGTGTCGTTCTGATTCATCTTTTAACTATTTAGTCATTTTTAAAACTTGTCTCTCCTCCACAGCTGTTTGTTTGCATCTTTTTACAAATGTGATCTTAAATTATATGAGGCAATGTTTTTGTTTGGTTTGTTTGTTTGGCTTAGACTGTGGAAAAAAAAGGAAACTGCCATGTTGAGGTGTTGAAGTGGATCCACAAGCAGCAGGCAGAAGGTGCTGTTGAGTTAATTATTTAATAAATGAAAAATCCAACTTACTAGAAGATACAAAATGTAGGGAACAAAAATCCAAATAATCCAACTGGAGACACGAGGAGAAAAAGTAAGATGACACATTGAGTGGCTGAAACAAACAGGCTAAATACTCAGAGGTAGAGTGAGATCAATAGACCAGGGCTGATGAAGTAAGTGATAACAGATGTGTGTAGTTGGAGAGAGTTAAGGTAGATTGTGGGGGAGAGAGAGTTGCACAGGGAAGATTATACAGAGAGAGAGAGAAAACAGAGGAACAGGAAATAACTACGACACTAAAGAATCATGAGATCTAAAGTAAGAAAAAAAAGAGAAGTAAACATAACTAGAAACGCTACAAGGGACTGACATACAGGAAGACAAGAACGAGACGGGTCTAACCAAAAGAAGTAACATCAAATAATGAACTTGAACGATCAGGAAGGATTAAACAAAAGTGAAAACGACTGAACAAAGTAAAAGAGGAACAGAAATAAAACCAACCCAAGAACACAGAGAGAAACATAAAACCTCCAAAATCTGCTGTTTTACAGCAGATAAAATTAAATCATATATAATTTTGATTATGCATAGTGCTTATTTTCATTATTGTTTTTAACAAATTTGAAATAAATATAAATATGTTTTTAACAAATTTGAAAAGAGGACATTGTGAGCATTTAATCTTTGAGACCCGACTTGAAAGATTGATAATAATCATGGATGGATAAAGTAGCTGAACACATGAACAACGATGGGACAAGAACAGAACTGACCTGCAGACCAGATGAACTTTGGTTCACTGAATTCAGTGAAATCCTTTGGGTTTCCTCCTTCAGCTCTACATGCAAATCCTGCTGTGTGTTTCTGTCCATGAATGATGAAGGAGTTCTCTACAGTCCCATTGATGCTACCAGGCAGCAGCTCATATCTGTAGTTGTTCTGCTTTAGATCAGGAACAGCTTTATACCAGTAGAACCTCCATCCTGCAGATGAAGGTTTAACCTCACAGCTCAGAGTCACTGAGGCTCCAGGATTCAGCCATGATGGAGACACAGTGAGGACAAAATCTAGAAATAGGAATTAATAATAAAACAAGCGGAAAACAAAATTGAATAGCAAATGTTACAAGTCACCTGGCTGTTGACTTAAACATGTAGTCACCTCTACATGTAGTCTTGACAGTGAAACATTCAATTTACTAGGATGCTAAAATTGCAGTAAAATTGTTTTCTTTTACTGATCAAATGATGGAAAGAAAAGGAATCTGAAACTTGGTGAGATCTGAATGATCAAATAAACATTCAAAACCAGGAAGTTTCCATTTACCTTGAGAGTTTCCACAGCAGAGAAAACTGAGAACTGAAACAATAAACATTGATACATTTTTAGATCTGTTAGAAAAGGGGAAATATCTGTATTTTCTTTCCTAATGTTTTCCATGCCAGTTTGAAGCTGAACTGAAACATGTAAAAATGGATGTTTACTCAGTTAATTTGTTTAAAGTGAACACAACAAATGAATCCATCTCATCCTAATCTTCTCATTTCCAGCTTTTTCCTCAATCTGCTTCATTAAAACTCATTTACTCACTCAGGAAATCCAGCACACAGAGCAAAACGTGGTCCATCTTCACGTCCTACACTGGTGATGTGTCGCTCTGGTTTGGATGAGACAAACTGAAGCTGCAGCAGCTGAAGAGGATCTGAGCATAAAACTCAATGTACACTATTTACAGCTGTCCTGTTTCCGTTTCGCACTCTGAGCCACTGCTGTGGTTTTTCAGCATACTATGACACTTGCTCCTCCAGCGCTTCATGTCCAATACTTACAAATAAAACGTAGCCATGGTTACACATTGGTGGAAAAATAAATAATTCAATGTAACACTTAAAATATATTTAGTGACTAATTTGTTGTTCAAGAACAATAAATAAACTTGATTGTTTTGCATGAACTCAACATTGAATTCATGTTGTGCATTCATGTTATATCATGTAGCACACCTCATAATGATGAGATATGGTAGATATGTTTTCATGTGTATTTAAGCTCTGACTCCTACTCAACAGGTTGTAACTGATTTAAAATCTAAATCTAAATGTTTTTCTATTAGAGAAGGAACTTAAATATTCTTTATGTCTGTGTTCTCTCCAGTCTCTGCAGTGTGAGCTACTAACTAATGACAGAGTAGAAACAACATTTAGCTTGAATGTTGTTCATGTTTAAATGTTAAGTTCTAAATGAGGAGATGGTCTGTTAAAACATGTGACAGAGTAAAATGGTGTCAGCTTAGAGCAGGGTGTTTAGAGGAAGTGTTCCAGTTAAAGACAAGAAGCTTTTTTTTTCTTTCTTTTTTTTAACCTTGCGACATATGTGTTATCTTTACTTAGAGTCGACCATTTTTCAGCTTTAGTTTGACTTTATTGAACATACTGTATTAAAAGAATAAACAAATGCTATGTATAAACAAAAATAAATTTAAAACAAAAGCAATCAAAACACTACAACTCATTGAACGTTTTAGCAGCACAATAAATTCAAGATCTGCTGGTGCCATAGCAACCTTCCAGGCCTCTCAGGTCTTCTGGTTCTGCTCTGCATCCCCAGAACATGGAGAAGCAGCATTCAACTTCCATAACCACAAATCTGGAACAAACTTCCAGAAAACTGCAAAACAGCTGGAACACTGAGTTCCTTTAAATCTAGACCATCCATAAGATACAACTAGTGTACTTCAAGTTACATCAAATATTGTAAAAACAATTCTGTTTTTGACATCACTACTTTGTCTTCATAACTGGGGGAAATCGACATTTCAAAGATTCCAGCACACCAGCATCAGGCGCGCTCTAAGCTATATGCTTTATGCTCTAAGCTTTATGCTTCCTGCTTCTGCAAGAGGGCTTATCAACAGAAGACAAACTTCTCTTTGCTTTCACACCTCTGTGTGCTAATTCTGCAAATTAAGTACCTTCTTGTTTCTAAGAAGTGGACATAAACTAAGCTCTTAGGGTGAATATGAAGTGTCAGATCGCGTTTCTTTTTTTCATGTCAGGCAGCATCTCTCACATCAGTTCCAGTATGATACATAAATAAATGCAAGCTTGTTCTTCCTTACATAACAGTAGTTGCTGAGTTTATAGTAAATTATTGCACCTCTTGCCCCGTTACTGTTGAATTGTGGTTCAACAGAATCATCTTAAAAAGCAAACTAATGAAACGGGCATGAACAAAAATTACGTCACCTCCAGCAAATATATAAAACCGATTTGACCAAAGGGACGAGTTTAAACAAGGTGTGTCCTCTAATTAGCATCTAATTAGGTGAGTCCAAGAGATATTTAAGATGAAGAGGTAAATAAATACCAAACTAAAACAAAACTAAAGTCCCAAATATCGTGACACTTTATGCATTGTTCCCTGTTCCTGAAAACAGACACAGTTGATACACGTGAATTGTTCACACATTTATTTTGGATAGAGCATATATAATTTGTCAAAACAATATAGGCATGATGGAAATTAATAACATTATTGATAACAGATATAATAGAAAATATTTTTTTTTTTATTTCATTGATGCCATTATGGCTGAAACAATCCAATTTTTATTTACGACATAATTTCTGTACAGTTCATCCTGGTCCACTATCAAATCAAATCACATGTGAAAACTGTGAAAGAACAACTGAGTTGTTCAAACTGACAGCCAGATGGGAGCAAATTGTTTCCAAGATGATTTATGGTATTTATAGTTTATTCACTATATCTGGGCAGCAGAAGCAGAAACATATAAAATAAGTTCAGTATAAACATCTATGAACAGATGACAGAAAGATAGAGACCAGTCACTGGGCCCCTAGTGATGTTTTAGCTCTATAATTTCTTCATAAAACATGAAAATATAAGGCAAGAGTTTCATCTCCAGAACTTAAGTGGTTAAGTTCAGAAGATTTTTGTTTTCAAAACTGCAATGAAAACGTCACTGAATCAGGGGTCAGTCTTTTCAGGGTGAAGATAATTTAATACACATCTGTGACCCAAAATCAAATGGAAATATTCGTCACTGAGTATCATGAAAGATAAAAAGAACAATGAATGTCTTACATCTACAAATGGGAAATTTTGGGCAATTACAAAATCTATGGAACATGATAGAAAAGTAGTTGATCAGATTGTCGCAAAATTTAAAATGCTTCTAATTTCAGTAGGTAGGATTATAGTTTTGGTATCTTTTATTTTTGTTATAAAAGCTGAGGTCTACATGGCGGTATCATCATAAAGTTTTCTTCCTACTTCAGAATAAACGACGTCGGCTGCTGCAGGACTCAGCTCCCCTGTGAAGGAAGAAGAGAAAATTTATGAAAACCAAACATGATTCAAATGTGATTTTAAGCCCAAACTTGTTAGAGATGCTGTCTCTATCAGTACCAGTGAACATGTTAATTCAATGTTTGACCAGTTTACAGAAAAAGTGCATGTTTGATTCCAGTTTTATTGCTTTTTTTTAAAATTTAGTACAGGATCTGCAGAGACGTGTGAAAATGTGCTGTGGGAAAAAGAAAAATTGTCACTAAACTTTAATATTGTTCAGAAACATCTGACCTGAGGAGAGATTTCAGTACAAACACACTGTACCTGGAGAGGTTCTGTTAACCTCAGAGTAAACAGCGCCCCCTTCTGGTTCAGGATGCCTTCCTGATGAGATTGTGACATTAAAAAAAAAAACTCATATTTATAAATGAAGCTCTAAGCAGATTTCTTAAACTGTGTAATGCATGTAGTAGAGGAACTCACTTCTGTGTCCAGAGTTTTTAAATTCAATCAGAGAGTAGGTGACACTTTGGACATCATCTGCATCTGAAACATTGAGGTTTTAATTTCATATACTAGGAAACAAAGTCAGAAATCAGCATCATATTTAATATCTAACTGCCTGAGCAGGTAAATGTCTGCAGAGGGTCTCACTGAATCATACAAGTTAACACTTCCTACAGCTAAAAACATTTTTAAAAAAACATAATTTAAACTCTTTTCAACATCAAGCTCATAAAGTAAAAGGAGGAAACATTAAATTAGTTAAATCTTATTTTTTAACAACTCAAGTAAAGATAATTTTAGAACATCTGAGACACTGAACTACTCAGTTATTTATTTATAACTCTGATTTACATTTCAGCTAAAAATTTATTCCAGCTGATGCAACTTGAGAAATCTCATTAATTTAAAGAAGTTCCCATTATAATAATAATATTGTAATAATCCTAATGGATGGTGATGATGATCAGTGTGAGTTCTGACCGCGGTCAGCAGAGCTGAGCTCCTCAGCTCCAGTCTGGTTGTAGTTTGTGTTTGAGTCCTAAGCTCTTCTCTCTGATTGGACCAACCTGAAATGAATACAGTAAATTTATTACTGTACTATTACTGTACAGAACCGACTGATTCTGTTTGAGATGAGAACAAGATGAAGATGAACCAACCTGAAACAGCAACGACCTGAAAAAAAAAACAACATTCATGGTCACATAATTATAAATGTATGTTGGAAATGTTTCACTGCAGCTTCATGACAGAGAAATATCAACACTAGATAAATGAAATAATTCAAGAAGAAGAAGAAGAAGGTCTCACCCTTTGACTGTTTGAAGCAACACAGCAGGATAATAATCAGACTGACTCCACTCACTGATCCAATGAGCAACAGAACAGGAAGTGATGCAGCTGTTGAAAGACAAATACTGATGTTGATGATATTGTTATGCTAATACAAAAATATTTGTACTCTAAAGTTTCAAGTGTTTAGGGGTAGGAGTTTATAAGTTCTCACTTCTTCCTACCCCATTTTGAGCATGATATGTTAACAGAAACAAAAAAATCTGTATTTTCTCTTCTTTCTTATGCACTTCTTGTTACTGTGCACTATTTTATTTTATATTTGTATCATGTTCGAATAAAATTTCATTTCATTTCATTTCATTTCATTTTCATTTCATTTCATTTCATTTCATTTCATTTCATTTCATTTCATTTCATTTATTTGACAGGTTGTATTAGTGTAGAAGTTGTCAAAGCTACAGACAGAGTAAGATTTTCATGAGTTTTGTCATTTCTCCCATGTTCTCCCTCTGCAAACATAAGTTTTATCCTGATACTGCAGCTTCTCCCCAACATCCAATCAGATTAATGGCAGCTTAATGGCATTACTCAGGATAAATTAGGTGGGTATAAAACAGGGATGAATACAAGTTTAATCTCTGCTCACCTTTAACTCCCATCCAGCTCTGAGGTGAAACTTCTCCTGAATGTTCACACTTGTAGAAACCTTCATCTGACTGAGACACTGCAGAGATCTTCAGCTCTCCTCTGCTGTCATTTTGGATCAGTTTGTCATGATGATAGAAAATCATATCAGAAAGTTTGTTTTCTCCTCTCCATCTGCAGCTCAGAGTAACAGAAGCTCCTTCAGTCACAGGATGGACGGGGCTCACCAGGAGAAGACCTTCATCTGGAAACCAGACAGAGAAAATGAAGCTTCAGTCAGAAATCAGCTGCTGGAGACAATTAGAGAAAAAAACTGAACATGTGATTTTTATCATTGATGCTTTAAAGTTTATCTTGAGCACCTTTTATATTGAAAATTTAACATTTGCCAAATAATTTTTTGCTTTTCACTGTTATTAGTGAACTATGGAGCAACTATGTGCATCAACATTTCTAACAGCAGCTGAATAACAATGGTGACTTTAATTATATGTTACAAGAACAAAACTGAATGAAAAATACTCATTTTGGATCATAAACTAGGCCTTCCTGACATTGATTGAGGAATGACAGTTTTTAAAATTTACATTAAATCTGTAAAATCACTGAAAAAAATACCTGGTCTATTGCATTCAGGCTTTAATTTCTGGTAAGCTGTAAAATTGGGAATTGTAAAATCCTGCTGTGTGTTTCTGTCCATGAATTATGAAGAAGTTCTCTATAGTCCCATTGATGCTACCAGGCAGCAGCTCATATCTGTAGTTTTTGTGCTTTAGATCAGGAACAACTTTGTACCAGTAGAACCTCCATCCTGCAGATGAAGGTTTAACCTCACAGCTCAGAGTCACTGAGGCTCCAGGATTCAGCCATGATGGAGACACAGTGAGGACTGACCTTGGGGCAACTGTTGGAAAGCGATTGAAAACAACAACATTATGAAATATTATGGGTCAATGCACTGAGAAGATACGTACACACAGTAAAGAATTGACTGTAAACCCTTTCACGGGTGATATAGCTGATCAGAACTGAAAAAAGAAAGAAAGAAAGAATAAAAATACCTTTCAATATGTCTTCAGTGTTTCCACAGCAGATAACTAAAACAATTTTAGAAAAATAGACTTATTAGAGAAGAGCAAGTGTATGTTCTTTTCTGAATTATGTTTATAGTGCAAAGTTTGAAGCTTAACAACCAATCAGTATATAAACTTGATTCTTGCTCAGTTCATATATTCAGTCAAACCTCTTACGTTCTAGTTTTCTCATTTCAAACATTTTTCTTCAGCAGCACCATAAATAGAAACTGATGTACTTACTGAATAAATGCAGCACACAGAGCAAAGTGTCGGCCATCTTCACATCCAGTATTGCTGATGTCTTGCTTTGCTTCAGGGAAACATTTCTACTTTGTAACAGTAGAAAGTTCTGTTGGGTCAGACTGAAAACGCAGCGACTGAGACACTGAGCATCAAACTGAACAAGAGGCAGTCTGATCACTGTTTCAAGTTTTTCTGCTTCCTGTTCGCACCATTAATAATCCCGCTGATTTTTCACAGTTTACTTTTAAACTCAGTCCTTCAGCACCTCATGCTCAAGAGCGACAAATGTATATTCGGAAATGATTCGCTGAATTATTTGAAGCAATGAATCTATAGACATACTCCTTGTTTTAAGATGAGAAAGTGATGGACAGAAGAAAATACCCTCCGTCATCCTGTTTTGTCTTCAGGACAGGTGGAAATGGACACTACAAAGATGTCAGGACGTCAGTAGAGATTGTGCAGAATGGTTCATGACTCCATGCTTTCACATCTTCTTGTCTGTCAGCTGTAAATAAAGATGATTCTCAATTCTAACAAGTAGACAGAAACTAAGGCCCTGGTGTTAACATAAAGTTTCATATCACTTTACTTCACGCCAGTCCACAGCAGCATGTGGCTCAAGTCAAAAAATAAATGCACGCTTACAGTATCCTTGGATACACAGTTGAGTTTATAAAAAAGAAGCTACATCATTCTCTTTGACAACCATGTTGGTGTCAAACGCCACTGCAGTTTGTTTTACACCTTTTATTTTTAATGGATATACAAATAAACTGCACTAAAATATGGTTTGCCATAAAAGAAACTACAGTCTCTTTGAAATTACAAATTACTCTGACTTTATTCTTTAGATGACTCTCTGTAGGTTATGCAGCCAAAAGCTCCTCGTTGTGACAGTTGTTACTATTTGGAAGTTTCATAACACTTTTTTCTTTTTTTCATTTTTTTTTAAAGATGGTGTTGGTGTCATGGTGCGTTAGACGGTTGACGCTGGAAACCGAACGCAGAGACGAAGGCGACGAATAAATTTGGAGATTTACTGAAAGATAATGAAGAATAAATTGCAAAATCAAAGGGAGCCAAGGCAAAAATACAAAAAACAAAAATCAACAGGATGCAAACCAGCGAGGGGGGCATGAGGAGAACACGGGGTGGAACGCGGAAATGACGCGACTGGACGACAGGATCCGGCCAGTAGTGACTGAGAATGAGGTGCTTAAATACTGGGGAACGCTGAACAAAAGGCCTGGTCTGATGAGCAAACAGGTTGGAGCTGTGAGTGGAGGGAGGAGGCAGACGGAGGAGAGGGAGAGAGAAAGTGGCACAGGGGGCGAGAGAGAGAGAGAGTACACAGTGGAACAGGAAATGAATCTAACACAGCAGAATAGCTAGACTAAAGAAACATAAACAACGAATCACTAGAAACAAGAAATAAACATAACTAGAAACATTAAGAAGAACTGAACTCATGGAAAACAGGAACAAGACAGATCTGACCAAAATAAGAACACAAAATAATAATGAAACTGGAATCAAATTGGCAAGGTGTTATGTCATGTTTATGACAGTGTTATGACAGTCTTATTCACCCCCCTTCAAATAAAGTGTTACCGAGTTTCTCATATTTCTACATTTTCCACCTAAAAAAATCTTAAATAAAACAAAATAAAAGAAATTTCTACACTGTATAAAAAAAATGTTAGAAAATAGGAGCAAATTTTTTTTGTTAAATTTACAAAAAATAAAATTGACGTCCAACTGGATCACAATTGAGATTCTCTTTAGACTAGGTTTAGATCACTGCACTCATTGCAATCTTTGCTTGTTTGCATGTGACCAGTTTTACAGTCGCAGAAGTTTGAGTCAGCGAAAACATGTTTATAAATGAAAATAAAAGAAGAAAACTTTGATGATCAATAATAATAATAATAATAATAATAATAATAATAATAATAATAATAATAATAATAATAATAATAGTAATAATAATAATCTAATTAGCTGCTGCTTCTGACTGTGATGTCACTATTACCAGATCACGATGGCATAAACACAGTCCTTGTGGTCTTGGCATCCATGTTGCTTTCTGAAGCCACATCATCATATTCGGGAATCTCGTCCAGATCTTCATGTTGTTCTTTTTTACATGATCATGAGAAAAACATGTTATTAAATATTAGTACCTTAGATAGATACGTATCTATACTTCATCGTGTAAAGGTCATACTTTACCATTCCCAGATGTTCCAGGTCCACTTTTTGTTTCATAAACAGAAAGGTCTCCTACAGTTTGGTAAAAATCATAGTTATTTTATTTTTCACCAGATGTCAGACACTGATGTGAACTCTGATTTCTTTCTGTAACAAATTTTTATCCAGTCTCTGACGACTGGAAGTGAAGAATGTACATTTTTCCTGATAACATGATCAAAAATGTGAAAAGGTTTGGTGGCGAATGTGCAGAACAAACCATGAAGAAGAGAGGAGTACACTGGCTGCTGATCCCTTTCCTGGCTTACTGGCTGCGCTGTCCTGCAACCTTTTTTTTTATTATTACAAAAAAATAAATAAATAAATGAAAAGATGCACATGATTTTCACACCGTTTTGAATGCAGTCATGCTGTACCGCTGTCCAATAGTTTTAGACATTTCTTGTATAAGAAATGTCTAAAACTCCTGAGAAGGAGGTCTCACCTTCTGACTTTCTGAAGCGCCACAACAGAAACAAAAGAACAATAAATCCGACTCCAACAAAGACCGACCGCACGAGAAAGGCAGAGCTTTCAGGTCGAGGCGTAGCTACTGTAAGAGGTCAGGAAAATTCTCATCAGCTACAAATGTGAAGGTTATATTCTGCTTTCAAATGATATTTTACTGTTATTCAAATCAACAGAATAATTTTACTAATCTCACCTTTAACTCCCATCCAGCTCTGAGGTGAAACTTCTCCTGAATGTTCACACTTGTAGAAACCTTCATCTGACTGAGACACTGCAGAGATCTTCAGCTCTCCTCTGCTGTCATTTTGGATCAGTTTGTCATGATGATAGAAAATCACATCAGAAAGTTTGTTTTCTCCTCTCCGTCTGCAGCTCAGAGTAACAGAAGCTCCTTCAGTCACAGGATGGACGGGGCTCACCAGGAGAAGATCTTCATCTGGAAACCAGACAGAGAAAAAGTTTCTGTCAGAAATCATCACTAACAAGGTCAGAGTCCTCATCATCATTGTCAGTCATTCATTCACCTTATTCTGCAAAAGAAACATTTGCCAAATAAATTTAACAAAAGTGACATACATTGCTCTGTAGAAGCAAAATGTCATTTAAAATTAATTCTTTGGATAACATTAGATGGAATGGAAACCACAGACGGGCTAGTTTATGCCAAGTTAGACATTTCATCGCCAACAAACCACTCTACAAAATTTAAAATGAAAAAAAAAAAATACATCATAAATTGTTGTAACATACTTTTCCCAGTGATGTTGACTGCGTTGCTGAACTCGCCTGACCCAGACTCACACCAGCACACTGCTCTATAGGAAGAGTAGACAGTAAAGGTACACGATGACCCTGTCATTGTCCGCCAGGTGGAGCAGTCTGATAATTTGGACCCGTCGTTCAGTTGCACAAACTCCTTCACTATCCATTGAGGAGAGTCTCCTTTGCAGTGTATTGAGACGGACTCAGAGGTGAAGTGTTGCTCTCTGTCAGGACTCACTGAGAGAGACGCTGCTGGATGAGGATCTGAAGAACAACATGGAGGAAAAAATTAACACAGGCAGAATGAAAAAAGCCCACACTCTTTTCTACATAACGCCATTTTAAAAAACTGCTTTACACATTTAAAACAAAGCAACTCACACCCAAACGAACCCCTAAAATACATCCACTACAATAGTATGGATATGGCAACAGACATGTCTCAAACCTATCAAACTAGAAGCTAAGCTGAAAAGACATGATCAATATCTTTACTGTTTGAGACAAAACATTGAAAAATTTAATTAAAATACTAAAATAAACAACAACTATAGGTTAATGAACAAAAACAAAGCTAAGAAAGAAAATAAAAAGTGAAAATAAAAAAAAAACAAAAAAAAAACGCTAACATGAAACCGTTTCGCCTCAACTAAAACAAAAACTAAAAGTAATCATAGCTATTAAGCAACTTGCGTTCAACAAGCTGCACCTGAATGCACCATCCTTTGCAGCCCTTGACTGTGTGACCACTTCCTTTACTTGAACAACCTGCCACTTGTCATATTGTCTGAAGCCGTTTTCTGTCTCTGTGCTCCGTTTGGTAACGTGTATTACTGTTTTAAATTATCTGTAGGCAACATCCTCCTGTAGCCCACCACAGAAGTTAGTTACAAACACATCCAAACTTAAAGAGTACACAATGGGTGAGAAGGCAGAAGAACTAGTCCCTGATTTTTGCAATCCTCTCAACCCAGGTTTTAATAGAACAGAAAAAGAAAACAGAACTTACCAATAGACCAGACAAACTTTGGTTCACTGTAACCAGTGGAAAAATGTGGGTTTCTTCTATCAGCTCTACAGGCATATCCCGATGTACGATTCTTGCCGTGAATGACAAAGAAGTTCTCTGCAGTCCCGCCGATGCTGTCGGGCAGCAGCAGGTAACTGTAGTTGTTATGTGACAGATCAGGAACAGCTTTATACCAGTAGAACCTCCATCCTGCAGATGAAGGTTTAACCTCACAGCTCAGAGTCACTGAGGCTCCAGGACTCAGCCATGATGGAGACACAGTGAGGACCGGCTTTAGTTCTGTTTTTAGAAAACGGTTAATACTTGTTAGTTTAAAAAGCTGGTTACGAAAGAAATAAGACTTGAAATGATTAACACAATTTTTCAGTGCTGTAATGTCCTGTTCTTATCATCACTTGGTATAGAAACTATGGAAAGCAGGAGAAATCTTAAGATATAAGTGATGTTAATCTCATGAGTCAGTAATTGAAGAGAGATGATTGTTCAGTTACCTTGAGTGATTCCACAGCAGATGAAGCATCTGATAACTAAAAAAAGATAAGATGGTAGACAAACCAAAAAGTATGAATGTTAACCAAACTCTCATTTAAAAGAAAAAAAGGAAAAAAAAAAAACTCTAAAAATTGCACATCAGTTCAACTTATATACTTTGTGAGACTTATACTACCACGGACTTTCTCTTCTTCAATTTCAAAACATTTTCCTTCCTCCACTGAATTCAAACAGAGAAAGGGAGATATATTTACCCAGTAAAAACAGCACATAGAGCAAAGTGTGGCCCATCTTCACATCCATCAGTCATGAGTCGCTCTGCTTTAGAGAAATATTTCTGCCTTCTAACACGAGACAGGCTGAATCTGCAGCAACCGAAGAGGCAGAATGATTATGGTGAGATCAAAAGTTGCGTGCTGAAACTCTTAGTCATTCTGCATCTGTCTGATTAGCACACAGCCAACACCTCTGCTGATGTTCTTTTCTGCAGACCACTCATTTCCTGTTCCAGAACATCCTGTCCAACAACCACATTGTCACTTGACACCCATATTGGTTAAAGTTCAACCATGCACAGCCACCACTATGTTCAGGTAGTAGGGGTCTTTAAGCTGCGGGTTGCATATATTTGCAGTTTATTTTGTTTTGCGTTTTATGATGAGCCTGTCTCACAGCCTCATTTTGTAAGAACTGGTTTAATAGACATTGAACTTGCCCCGATTTAAATTATTTTCTTTTAGTCTAGAGGGTGTCTTTCAAACAAAGCTTTGGTAATGGCCTGAGTCATATCTCAAAGCAAACCTGATGACAGGTTCTCATAAATCTAGGACGGTGCACTGGTTCCTCTCTACCTCTACAATCTTTATTAGACACTAAATTCAGCATTTCAATTCTAAACAGAATTTAATCTGGATTTATGTTATTTAATTATCCCACTGCTGCTGTATGCTTTCTGTGGACCCTGATCTTTGAACACTAAATGAAGGTAAACTCATACATTTTCAGAAATCACCCACTCGTGGTTTTAAAGGATCTCTACTGTCGGGTTATAAATAGGTCTCCGTGACAACCTCACAAAGAACAGTGTTCCCATAAACCAAAACAAGATGAATTTGATCCTTCCAGATGAACAACCCGAGACATCATGCATTGAAATTGAGAAACCCACCGGTGCCGCCAACCATCGATGCACTGAAAGCTTGTGGTGACTTTGTTGTCCACCTTTAGGCAGTAATAGACCAATAGACCAGACAAACTTTGGTTCAGTGGCAGGAATAGTTTTGTAAAGTGTTGGAACCTCCGTAAGCAAAGAACATCTTCTCCTAGTCCGGCGGATGAATCTTTGAACCTCTCCTGTTTGGAGGATTTCCACGCTCACTGCTTGATGCTGGGAGATTTTTTATTTCATTATTGAGCTGCTAGGTTCTTTCTTATCTTGGTTTTTATGCGTCAATTGATCAGAATTGTCTGCATTTCTAACCGGTCAATTGTCTGGTGCGTATCTTTGAGTTGGTGAGATTCTGGGACATTGTCCAGCCCATAGTCCAGCTCTTGTCCAGTGACGATGCCTTAGGAGTGAAAACCTTCTTCCCTCTGGCCTAGTTACAGTAGAGCTTCTCTGTCTCCTACAGCTGATCGGAGGCCGCCTTGCCTGCTCCCTTATCTGAGGTCAAACTCAACCTATCTTAGTTATTGGACACTCATGCATTTCACAGATTCAAGTTTTTATTGCAGATGTGAAAATCACCAGAAACTCACATTTTCATTACAGATATAAAAAAATATTTTCACTAAACATTATTTGATTAGCAAGTCAGAGTCCAAGAAACAGCAAAGGATCATTTGATATAACTTAACCGTTACAGCAGGAATTGCACACAATTGCAATGTTTTTACATTTTGGCCTTCAGGAATAATCACAATATCTAACAAACACTCCTGTCCATTTAACATCTAATAACATAACACATCTGGTCAACAAGCAAAAATAATAGATTGATTTTAAAATCTGCATTATGAAACATTCATCTTATCCTTTTAGTGGTTATGAAAACCAAACGCTCGACATTTTTACACTCATGTTTGTGTAACAAAACCATCATCATTACTTGAGCTGCTTCTGCTTGTTGCTCTAGTCGGTAAATATTCTTCCCACATCAAAAGACACTTCAAGTATCAGAATGACGTTGTTCTTCAAAGTCATTGCTAAAGTCCCACTGTTGCTGCTCTTTCTATGTTATACAGTTATACAATCTGGAATTTCCTTTATCATGTTTCTGAGTTGATCAGAGACATGTTGTGTGACCATAGTAACCCCTCAGCCTTTCACTATGCAGTTATGTAAACGAACTAGGCATTACATCAGTCTATCAAGTGATGCTTTATTCAGATCCCTTAATTGAGCGGGGGGAGCCGCAGGGGTTGGCAGAGCATATGCTGCCCCTTGGAAGATGCCACCCTGGGCAGTTGCCCATCAGAAGCCCCCTGTTGTGACATATTTGTTTTTGTTGCCCTGTTTCACTTAAAACTATACAGTCAGAATGTAAACCTCAATAACTCCCTTAACATTCTTAATCTGTAAATCCGCTCCTTTTTACGTCAAGTTTAATTTTTTGTAAAATTTTATGCATTTCATAGTCCAACGTGAATAAATGCACCTGTTTCTGATTTCATCTTGAAACCAGGCACATTTGACCTAATATGCATCCCAGACAAAGGTCATTTTGTTTCACGTTGGAATATTACATTGCTTTCTCGAACCAATCTTGAATTAAATATTTGAATATCCGGATCATAACTCACTTGAGCACATATGAAAATATATATCTAAAGCTGTCTTTTTGGAACAAACCCCTCTAACATCGAGTCCAAAGAGCATCATCAGTATCCAGAGGTCGACTTCACTTCAGAATAAACGGCTGCGTCGGATGCTGCTAGACTGGACCTTCCTGTAAAAGCAGAGAGGAATCAGTTGAGACAGTTACATGAACTAGGACAAATGTGAAATAGATCTGAACCATGGAGATTACACTATATTTGAGCCAAATATTCAATTTAAAATGTCAAAGCAAACAACACTCGTCAACAAGTCTTTGGTTTGTGTCAAATGTTATGGATGTTTTGAGTCTATAAAGCCATGTGGGATTCTGATTGGTTAAAACTGATAAACATGGCTGTTTCCAAACAGAAACATATTAAAGCTCAAACTAGGACAAAGTAAATGAAAGATGTTGAATCTGAGTGACTGAACCTGTAGTCTACACCCACAACTATTGAAAACCTTGAACATGAATAACTTCTGACAATTTCTAACCAAATGATGTCCAATGGTTTCCGTTTCTGCTGACTGTACCTGCAGCTCCTACTCTCACATCAGAATTGACAGGACTGTCATCTGGTTCCAGATAGTGCCCTGACAAAAGGACAAAAAAACAAAAAACAAATTAAAGTCAGGCTTTTTGAAAATGAAACTTTCAGAACATATTATTTAATCTGACAAAGTTGGAGGAACTCACTCATGTTTCCAGTGTTTTTAAAGTTAAGGAGCGAGTAGGAGATGCTTTGATCTTTCTTTGGATCTGTAACACATTAACACATCATTTCAGTCATCTTGATGTCATTCTTTTCTTGAATATCTCAGAATTTCAGCAGGTGAACTTTACCGTTTTCAGGTTCTTTAGTGGGTCTCACCAAGTCATAGAAGTAGGAAGTGCCTAATAAAATACAACATAAATGATTTCCTTTCACAATTGTACCATGACATATTCATTTTATTTGAGTTTGGCTCTTTAGAGAGCAGAAATTATCAGTTGAAAACTAAACAAAAAAGTTTATATATATATAGATATATATATATATATAGATATATATTTGTAGATTAACTGCAAATAAAAAAAGCCAAATCTTCATTTAGTTGCATCTCTTTCATTTCATAGCCATCACAAAAAGCAAAACACAATTTACTTAAAAAAAAAAAATACATCAGAAAATGTTTCAAAGTTGACATTAATAATTCTATAATATTGTAATATTGTAATGATACTTTCAAGTAATCACACTAAGGGGATATTCACACCTGATACATTTGGTCGGGTTTAAATGAACCAGAGTTTGTTTCCCTCTTCTGTCACGGTTCGATTCGGGTGCGAACAGACCGGCCTCGATCCGGACCCTCGATCATCAACCAGCTTTGTTTACAAATTATAGTCCGCTTGCTAAAAAGCCCAATTCGAATGCAAAACGCACCGAATGAAAAAAAAATTAAAAAAAATTAAATATAAAATAAAGTCTGCTTTTGGTCTGGATCAAAGGACTTTCCTGGTGTGAATGCACGCTTAGATTACTTGTATTTATAGTAAAAAGATTACATGTAAAACGTGTTAGTCTTCTGTTTATCTCCACCATGAGATAAGTGAGAGTGACTTAACATTAACTATTGGTTCTTCATAAGAAAATGAAAGTCTGACCTTTGAGCCTTATGAAGCGAATCAGAAGCAGCAGGAGAAGAAGGAGGACGATTCCACAAAGCGGTCCCACGGCCCACATTACAGGAAATGAAGAGCTGCTCTTTTTTAAAACGGCTGCAAAACAAAAAAAAAGTATTGAAAATATGTCTTGAAATAAATAAAACAGTCGCCTCATTTATTAAATCACAGGCAGTGCTTTAACTCTGTTCACCTTTAACTGCCATCCAGCTCTGAGGTGAAACTTCTCCTGAATGTTCACACTTGTAGAAACCTTCATCTGACTGAGACACTGCAGAGATCTTCAGCTCTCCTCTGCTGTCATTTTGGATCAGTTTGTCATTATGATAGAAAATCACATCAGAAAGTTTGTTTTCTCCTCTCAGTCTGCAGCTCAGAGTAACAGAAGCTCCTTCAGTCACAGGATGGACGGGGCTCACCAGGAGAAGACCTTCATCTGGAAACCAGACAGAAGATATTAGACTCCCTCCAGAAATCGGCTGGAGACAATTAGAGGAAGTTAAGAAGGGCAAGGTCAGATATCAATTAATATAAATAATTCAATAAAGTTGTTTTACTTATCTATTCATTTATTTGTGTGTGTGTTTATTTATAAGAATTGTTTTTGCCATCCCAAACAAAAACTTTTTCCTGTGGTTTTATGAGGTGAGTCCAGCTCACTTTGGTGGTGAGAAGATATTTGATTATTTTTGAAAAGCCCATCAGATAATTTATAATTTTGTACTGCAAAACTTAACTTGCATAAAGAAATAATTTATTGAATTATTTATATTAGTTGATATCTGACATACTTTTTGTTGTGAGCTGATGATACAACAACGAATGGTGATTGCAGTGCAGTTTGCATTTTATTTCAACTGATGGACAGTGGAGTAACTAAGAAACCAGTAATTATGTCATGTTGAAGAGATCCTGTGTGCTGAGTTTTAGCTTCATTGCTCACCTGCTGCCTGGACTCTCTGAAGATCCTCATTAAATCCTCAAAACTCAGTTGCTGCCTCACCTCTCTGCTTTTGGGTCCGAACCTCAACAACCGCAAATCATAACACAATGTAAAGGGGCCAATTAACCGAAACTAACCAGCTTTTTTGATGGTGGGAGAAGCCAAAGCTCTTGGAGAGAACCCACATCTGCATAGGAATATTGTGGAAAGTCCATGCAGAAACAAAGTGTTGGAATTTTGAACCCTTGGTGAAAAGCACCAGGGCTGTGTTGTGTTTTGCAACCCCATCTCGTCATTTTGTTTGAACTGCTCTAAGGGGCAAAAGGCATCGGTTCATGCCAGGTCGGACCACACTACATGTGAAAATGCTGGTTATGACGGCCAATATGTGGATATAATCAAAATCCATGGTGATTTCAAAGTTTGGGAACAATTTGTGTCGTGATCTCTACAGCCTGAAACTAAATCTACATCCAAAAAGGCTAAATAAAAACGTTCAGACAACCTAATTTCAATTAATTCTGTACACCACAGAAGAAGAAAATATTTGTTGTCCAAGACGACAAACATTTGCCCCGTTGCACTGAATTTGTACAGCAGGTCCTGAGGAAGAGCAGCTCACCTGATGCAGTTAAGGCACTTTTTAAAGTAGGAAATTGAACTGAAACCTCAATAATACCAATAAGCAACTTGTTGGTAGAATAAAAAATTAGATTACACATAAAATTAAATATGATTAAGACATTTTGCACTTTTT